CCCTAGTGTTTTATCTTACTTACTGCTGCAATTTTCTCTTAGTTTGTAAAACTGAAATGCTGTTTTTGTAACGCTTTACGCTCACTACATCAATAAACGAGATGCCCGCTCCTATTGTGTGTTTTGTGATTATTTAGATTAGTTACAAATATAATTTTATCATAGTTTCAGTGTGATTTGAATATAAGTCAGAAATATTCTCGGGTACGAGACTATGCTTAACTTTAAACATCAAAGTGGCAATGTCTTGTAGGCGCCGATTGTACAACGTCGGTAGTTTGGCGCGACTTAGCAGTTCTTGATAGGCGCTGATCTAGTTTTTTACACCGCCCTAAGTGCTCGCTCCTGAATCCGCTCAAGCTTTCTCCGATCCGATGCATTACAAAAGTGCCATACTAGATGACAGTAGGTTAGATGGGGCAGAATTAAAGACCTGTAAAGTGATAGTTTAGCATTACAAGGTATCAAATTGCGTAGCCGCACTAGAACCTCTACTTTTTGACTGGCCTTAGAGCATAGATCAATGATATGACTAGTAAAACTCAATTTTTCATCGATTTGAACTCCTAAAAGCCGCATTTCCCCCATTCTCTTAATAGTATGACCGTCGACAGAAAAATTTTGATTATCGTTGTCTTTGTCAACATTTCTCCGGTTGATCGTTAATAGCTGGAACTTCTCTGGGTTGGTTGAGAGATAGTTGTTCTTGTACCAGAACAGAGCTTTCTCTCCATGTATCTTGATACTTTGCGCGACGTCACGCTTCTTCCCCATGACATACATCTGATGATCGTCGGGATACATTCTCAAATTAGCATTATTTATATGGAATGACATATCATTTTGGAACAAATTCCACAGAAGGGGGCCAAAGGACGAGCCTTTCGGGCAGCCAAGCACCATCCTTTTCCAGTCACTTGTCACTCCTTTTATTTTCACTCTATTGAGCCTATTGTCAAAGTATGATCTAAGAAGGTTGAGATAATTTTGTCCAATGCTATAGGCCTCGAGTTTCTTTACGATTAAAAAAAGGCTGAGAGTCAAAGGCTTTACTCAAGTCAGTAGACAGTGTATACACCACCGCCTCCAGGTTAGCTCAATGGATAGAGCGCTGGATTGTAGTGTGGGAGGTCGAGGGTTCGAGCCCCGGCCTGACCAACACTCAAGGTCTTAAAATAATTCAGAAGAATTTGCTACCTTTCTATAACATCAAGAAATGGTTAGATATTCGAGTCTTCTCGGATTGGGACGAATAAATGGGGGTTCCGTCTCCTGCAGGGTTGGGCCAGGAGACGTTAATTTCCCACACACGAGATTACTGTGTGATGGATGTCCTCCCCTGGGGTGGGATGGGTGGGTTAGGACAGCAG